GGTCGCGAGCGAACTGAACAAACGTTCGAACGCGATTGGTCGTCGAAACCGCGTCGGATGCGTTTCGCGAACGGCGCAGGTCTGTTGAACAGCGCTATAAACGCTTTGCCGTTTGAATTGCACATACCGGGCTATCAATTTTGCGGACCCGGCAAACAGCTCGCCAAACGGTTGGCGCAGAACGATCGCGGAATAAGTCTGTTGGACGCCGCGTGTTGCGAGCACGACATTGCCTACTCGCGCAATTCCGAACTCGCCGCGCGTCACGACGCCGACCGGTTGCTCGCTAAAAAAGCGCGCGAACGCATAACAGCCGCCAACTCTACTCTGGGAGAAAAAGTTGCCGCAACGGCTGTTTGGGCGGCCATGAAGGCCAAAACGAAGAGACACAAAACAGGTAAAAGGAAAAGACATGCGAAAAAGAAAAAGAGAATTCTACCGGTTGCTAAACGCAGCGGCTTGTTGCCTCTATTGCCTGTGCTGGGAGCCATCGGATCGTTGATCGGTGGTGCGGCTGGTGTAGCAAAAGCCGTTGGCGATCGAAAGGCCGCTGCGCGCCAATTGGAGGAACTGCAACGACACAATCACGCGTTGGAAGGTCGCGGATTGTATCTCGAACCTTACAAGCGCAACGCATTCGGAAGAGGTCTTCGCGGTAAAAAAAAAAACCACGCGGAAGCAAGCGATAGATGTCGCTTTACCATCCGGTGTTACCACGAATGTGCAACTCGACGCGCTTGTCCGACGACTTCGCATACCGTTCTTCAGGGGTGTATTTATGCGCAACGCCTTACCCGCGCGCGTACGCGCGAACGAGAGCGGCATCGTCAATCTCGACGACGCTATCGGACCGAGCACGCATTGGGTCGCTTACGCCAAGAAAGGACGCAACGCGGTGTACTTTGACGGATTCGGCAACTTGCGTCCGCCGCGAGAACTCGAGCGCTATCTAGGAAGCAACGTGGCGATCGCGTACAATTGTTATCAGTATCAAACGTACGATCAGAACGTTTGCGGTCAGTTGTGTCTGCGATTTCTGAGAGATCTCGAGTGGTGAGCGATCGTTCTCGCGCGCTCTCAACAATGTCGATCACGCTCACATTAACCGGTAGAAGCAGCGTTCTCGCGGTGAGTTACTATCCACCTATCGATCTGAGCGACGGAGTTCACAAACTCGGTCTTACAAACTTCGAATCTTACAACACGATACCAAACGTCGACTCAACGAACAACAAGTTCTACTTCGACGATAACGACGAAACNATAACGATTCCCGTGGGTTCGTACGAATTGCGCGCCCTCGCTCGTTTTCTGAACACCGCTGTGCTTTGCAGACGTCGGGAACCAAAGGCGAGCGTTAACAAGAAAAACGATGACAACGATGACAACGACACCAACGATGACGGCTACGATATGTTCGATGACGACGACGGCAACGACGATAATAACGATGTGGGTGACAAGAGCGCGTTGACACTTCGCGCCAACGAAAACACCATGCAAAGCGAGATCAAGTGCGCTTATCGAGTCAACTTTTCAAAACCAAACAACATTGGCTCGCTGCTCGGTTTCTCGTCGTCGCGCATTCTACAACCCAACCGGTGGTACGCGTCAGACGAACCGGTGAACATTATGAATGTGAACGTAATTCGCGTGGAATGCAACATCACCGCGGGAGCGTACAGCAACGAGCAACTTGTGCACACGATACACGAATTTGCTCCGAACGTACCACTGGGATATAAACTGTCGGAAACGCCGCGCCAAATCATTTACCTTTCGGTCTTCGTGAGGAACGTTACAGACATTACGGTGCGCATAGTGGATCAGAACGGTGTATTGATCGATTTTCGCGGCGAAACGATATCGGTGCGCTTGCACGTACGGAAGATACGCGAGTAAAAAAACAACGTCGACGTCTGCGCAGTAAGGGGGAATAAACAAAAGATTATGCTCGTCGTGACCGCGTCGAGAAAACGAAACACAACGCAACGAGATTGTTCCATCGTTTTGAATCGTTCGACGTTGACTGCGCGAAACGCAAGGTTTTTGCGTTCGTTGGGTTACGCAGGAGACACCAGTGACAACAACAACAACATCAACGATGAACGACGTACTCAACGTCGGTGGTGAACCTGTCTTCGACGATCGTATCGTCAAGATCAAGACTCACACGTACAATCCATACGCCAATACATCGTTTAGTCACAGCGATGAGATACGCATACCCATTCAACAACAAGATGTTTACACTTTGCCGTCCGACAGTTACTTAGACGTCAAAGGAAAGTTCAGTCTGCAAATCACCGCTGGAGCGGTGGAAGGAAGCGGCGCGGTTGCCACCGCCGCCGCGTTGACGAACAATTGCATGGCTTTTATGTTCGATGAGATCAGATACGAGCTCAATGGTGTGGAAATCGATCGAAATCGCAACTCTGGTGTAACGAGCACGTTAAAGAACTACGTGTCTTTAACCAGCGAAACGGGGAACGTTCTGCGACATGCCGGATGAAACCTATCCACCACCAATAAAGGTGCTGGTGCGTTCAATTTTTGTGTACCTCTCTGCACATTGCTGGGATTCTGCGAGGACTATAAACGCGTTGTGATCAACGCGAGACACGAACTCGTTCTGATACGATTGCGCAACGACAACAATAGCGTCGTTGCTTCGGCTAACAGCGGACCAACAGTGGAATTGCACAAGGTGCAGTGGCGAATGCCGCACGTTGTGTTAAACGATGTAAACAAATTGAAGCTGTTGCGCACTTTGGAAAGCGGTCAATATTTGACCATGGGTTTTCGCTCGTGTGATCTGTATGAGTATCCGCTGTTACAGAGCACATCATCTCATTCGTGGGCTGTAAAAGCGGCGACACAGTTGGAAAAACCACGTTACATCATTTTTGCGTTGCAGACCGGTCGAAAGAATGTTGTCAGCCGAGATTGCTCGCGATTTGATCATTGCAACTTATCAAATGTAAAGTTGTTCCTGAATTCAGATTTCTATCCCTACGACGATTTGAATCTAGATTTTGGTAAGGAACGATACGACATTTTGTACGACAAGTACATTAAATTCAGACGATCCTACTACGGATGCGACGAGAACGAGGCGCTTCTAACGTTGGACAAGTTCATCTATTGCGGACCGCTCGTAGTCATCGACTGTTCGCGCCAAAACGAAACAGTCAAAAGCGCCACCGTTGACGTTCGCATTGAATTTAACTGCAAAGAAAATATACCCACCGATACAACCGCGTACTGTCTGATCATACACGATCGCATCGTCGAATACAACCCGCTGACCAGCGTCGTGCGACGTATCGTTTAGAGCAGGCGTCAGTCGCGTTCGTACGGTCAACGATGTCGCACGCTTTGTCAACGTCGACGACTACAATGTCCACCATGCTGCGTTCCTCAGCGGACATACTTATATTTGTGGATCTTCAAGATTTTATGATTGGGGATAACAACTTTATAACTAAGGAAGCGGCGATACTTCGGAACGGACGCGAGCTGATTCACCATGTGTTTCAAGAACCTATGTCGTGGAACCTGTTAACAAAAGCCGAGCAGACGCGAGCGTGCTGGCTCACGGTCACCCATCACAGCCTGCACTGGACCGATGGAACGGTGGAATATCAGCGCTTGAAACCGATGCTTCGAAACGCTCTGTCATGTGTATCGAACAACGGGTCTACACTGGTGTATGTAAAAGGTGTCGAGAAGAAGCAGTGGTTGACAAAGATCGTCGGCGACGTCGTCAACGATTGTGACATCGTCATCGAAACCATCGACATCGACTACGAGGACATCGACAGTCTGCGAAATCTCGACGATTCGCGAGTTTTCAACTGCGGAAACCACTCGAGAAAGTGCGCTATGGAGAACGTGTGTAAACTATACGCGTGGTGGTCAACACGGAACGATATGTTGAGCGACCTGTAGCTTTGTATTGTTTTTTAACTATACTCTCTCCATATATTCTTAACTATATTACTTTATATATATTTTTGGATGAGGCAGTTATACGAGAAGACGGCGAAGTTACGACGACAGTGATGACAGCGAGGATCGTGGATGTGATGGGCGTGTATTTAAAAAGCTCTTTCTGGAATGAAAAGAGACTTTTATTTACACTATGTACATGAGATTGTGTTTTTGGTTTTTATAAGAAGGGGCCCTGGAAAGAGACTTTTTCTCAAGTCTTTTCTTTCCAGAAGATTCGGGGCCTGGTTTTGGTTAGCCGCCAGTCGGTGCCCTGGAACCGTTGAGGTGATATCGACGAAGATCCGCTGTCGATTGTCTGAACGGCTGCTTCCGTTGAAGCCGGGCGTATGTCCTCTGCCTGGCAGGCCCGTTCTGCGGTGGAGGGTTTTGTTCCTCGCTTCCTAGCCCTCTGTCGAGCCCTGGTCTGAGTGCCGCAGTCGACTCTATCGGCCTGTGTCTGCGTGGAGACACTTCGCTTCCGAGGAGTATAAGATGGCGTCGGCGGTCTGTCCCAAGCGATCGGTCTCCTTGGAGGTGTGGTCCGTGGAGGAGGAAGGTCGATCGGAATGAGGCGCCAAGGTAGAAATTGCTCTACCCTCGGGAGTTTTTCTGACCCGGGTGTTCGGGGTCGCTCGGCGGCCTTGAGAGGACTTTGCGGCGGAATGCCTTTTTTGCCTTTTTCTCCACTGGAGAAAAAGTGATCTCTA